TTGCTACCTCACATCCATACGATTTCTCRCTGCGCGTCGCGTCGCCCTTATTGTGCTTATTAATTCTTACACTTTTATCAGAAATTTACGTTGTCGCTTGTTGTGCTCTTTGTCTTCGCTGATAAGGTGGCGCCTTGGCTTTTTCCTCTAAATTGACTTCTTCCAGTCGTTGCCCCGCATTAGCACAACCATGGTGGCAACATTTCATGGCGCGGCCTCATCTGTTCTTATGCTTCGATGATTTATGGATGCCTTAAGTCGTTTCTGAACCGTTTAAYGATAGGACTTTATGCATATTTAGCGCCGCTATGCGACAGTCATCAACAGTCATTGAGTAACAGTTCGGAAGTGGTTAGTGGCGACAACGATGGCTGCACCTTCGTTTCGGACTAAGTGAATGCATAACACATACGAATACTTACTATAGATACATATGTATATTGCCTGGATTGAGAAAAAATATTTGTAAGATACAAAAATAGAAGCAAGTGGTGGACATAATTGCTTCTGGAAGGAGGCAAAGTACTGACCAAATAGAAAAAGCGTATCAATATTTACTCATAAATGGGCTTAATATGTACATTCTCAGAAACATAAAACCCGCCTAGTAACATTTTRAATTTTCACACTAATTTTGGTATGAGCATCAGAATACAAAAATGTTTTACAAAAATTGAGAATCATCTCTAATTTTGAATGACATACATACATATGTATGTAYCGGCTAGGAYAATCGATTTTCAAACACTTCTCTTGAGGCGAATTTTTTACCATCAAAATCAGTCACCGTAGATCATGGGTGGATTCCCYAAAAGTTAAAAGTTATACATTATTTCTATCATAAGTGATACTTCGCGAAGAAAAGGACTTTCAGTTACAAGTACAAAATTATATACAGTACAGGTCCAAATTAAGAATTTGGTTTTAGAGAAACANACAGTACAGGTCCAAATTAAGAATTTGGTTTTAGAGAAACAACTCGATCCCACGAAACACATAGCAAAATGAAAAAAAAAATATTATCTAAAGTGGACTTGGAGATGGATAATATCAAAAATTTATGATATTCCCAAACAAAGATAATAAAGACTCCGTTTTTTCCGTTTTTAGTGCCGTTTGCTAAGTATTACCGAGCCGTAAGTATACCCCCGAATTATGCTGCTATTCAGTAGTAGAAACTTTAAACTTCTTTGTGAAGTTTACCCTTTTCGTAACGCCATATGAAAGGGCCACATCGGCATTCATTGCTGAGACAGTATTATCTTTCCTTTTCCTTTTCCCTTTTCTTTTTCCTTGTCATAAGTTTACTTTACCATGTAATGCCTCCCAAATGGGGCCATTATCCAGAGATATGGAGATGAAGATGCCGTGTGTAGAAATCGGCTTGTCCGCCAAATTTAAAAAAATTTAAAAATCGGTTTGAAAATCGATTATKTTTTATTTATTTTAAAAAAGAAATCGTAAAATCAAAGACACTTTGCAGGCTGAATATGAAGACTATTCTCACTCGAAGTACTCTTTCACAATGACAACGTCGCCAAGGTCACATGCGCCTTATGAGTTGCTTCCAATTCAAATTTTCCAAATTTTGATTTTTCATTACTTAGCTCAGTATTTGTCGGGCCCCCATCGAAAAACATTTTTATTTGATAATATACATATTTGTATGTATAAACATATACCCATCAACCTGTATGTACATGGCAAAGTCAAACTTTATATTTCCTTATTATTTAAATTCMCATATTTTAATATAAATTGAAAAATTTCCCATCTATAGACGCGACTTTGTGCATACAAAATAAATATTTCACAATCTGACCTCTTTGATTCAAATACTTCAAAAACTTTTAGGTCAAACTTATTTTCATAAGAGTTGCTATTATAAATGAYTTCTATGCCCGATAACGGCATAAGCAGGAAGCAATTTGCTTAAGTACTTTCATRAACGTAAAATCGATGTTTAAGCAGTCGTTAAATATTTTCAAAGTAAAATTTTGCCAACCTCAACGCACCAAATTYCTTAGTAAGTTTCATATCCTTCAAAGTACCTCGTTGCCCTGCTGCTGCATGTTAAACCCCAAAAATCATATCTTTGCTATTTTTCAATTTATCTAAATCAAGTTCAACTACTAACTATGCTGGGGTATTTACATTTTCGAAAGGTCGTCGTATCCTATGCAATAAATACATACACATACACACACATATATATTTTAAGCAAATGCCACACCGTTCTCACTCGTCCTTTCGCCAGGTTCCGTCGGTTTTCCGCATAAATAATGCATGTTAAAAGCTTTTCGGATTATTCGTCTTGTGCTGGAGCCACCACATTCACGCGACGCTACACTCAGCGCAAGAAGTACAAACCGACGAAGAGTGGGACGATGCTTAAGAAGCAGCCAGAGATGTAGAGAACACTCAAACACTCGGTTGATATCATAAAATTTCATATCCCCTTCGGATTATTTAAAAACGCTTGTGTGGGGCAATAATAAATAAAAATGTACTTATATAAAACCGTCGAGCTCTTGCAACGTTGTTGTACACATGTGTTTTGCAGGTCGCTAAGTCRGCCCCCCGCAAGTGAGCTGTTACCGTAAAACGTTACATTACAATAAATATTTACGTGTATATGTTGTTGGTGTGTTTGTTGATTGCCGAATTTCTGATATATGCAAATTCAATCGCAACCAACCACCATTATTCGCAAGCAGCCCCACTCCTGTGAGSTACGTTTGTGCGCTCGTAACACTTTTACAACTACATAATTCGTTKCTTTAAATGGTGGGCCTATAAAATTATGCTTACGTGGTTTACAAGAGATTTAAAAGCCTGCCCCCAAGCTCGAAGCCCCTTTCCTTTCTGGTTGTGACTGCCACACTCGTAAAATCGGCAACGTTCACAACGTCGATACACGTGGATTTTGGGGCTGAGCATGAGGGTTGATCTTGGGGTTAAGCAACCATACATACATACATACACTCGCTTATTCAGCGCAGTCTCCAAATGCCGATATATGCATTTGTGGGGTATGTGGCAAATCATGTGCTTATGATGTGTAGCGTTTGCGGTGCGATAAATGACTTTTACTGCAATTGATATTACCGAAAATATGGGCGAAGCACAGCAATCCTGTACGCACATGTGTATATACATACTTATATATGATACATATGCTCATATTCAGCTACGTGTGAATTTTCGATTGGCCGTAAACTCTCGGCATATTGATTCCTCGTGAATTTATGCTTTTTCGCCGAAGCATAAACAAYGTATAAAGTTTGATATTATTCTGSATTTACCTTAGTCGAAATGTAAAAAATGAGTTGAGCTTTGACTTAGCTGTTTTTATGTGCTTTTGTAGAAAGCATCAATAAGACATGCGATTTGTCAGTTTAACACGTGATCACGTGCTTGCAAGCATGTGAATTCTAAGGAAAATTCGAAGTTTATATTGGGAACATGGGAAAAATACGAGTTTAGATACATCATAAAATGTGGAAAAGATTGCTTCCAATTTAAATATGTGAATTATGTATATTTAAATATTTTGTATTTACGGTTGGTGCTGGAACACAAACATTAAGCTGTTAGAGGCTCCACATCACGCCGCGATTCGTCGTAGCTTAAACGCCTTTCCTACATCACCAACTAAATGTATCTTAGAAGAAAGTGGCTTACCGTCAATAAAGGAAACAGTTTACGAAAAAACGATACAACTYCTTCCAAATATACTTAATTCTCCAAACACTGGCGTCCAAAAATGTATAACTCTTGCAGCAAAAYACATAAGGATTTTTCAACYCAAATCTACTTTCCGCCGCTGTCTTCAGTTCAAAACGTACATATGTTTTGAAGATATCTCAATCCGAGTGGCTAAAGTGCTTCGACAATTGGTTCAAACGCATGTAAAAGTGTAAAAATATTRATGAAGAATATTTTTAAAAACATTAAAATGATTTTCGATGATTAATATTTGTTTTTGTTATCGAATCACGAAATACAAATGGCAACCCTAGTAGTATACTATATAACATAATTTCTTCAAACTAAGGGTAACCTACTAAAAACAAGCAATTAATACACACAAATATCAAAAAAAGAAAGAAATAATCCTATATTCAGTTGATGGTCCGCACTCAGACACTTTTGACGCATTTAAACACTATTAAACTAAAATAAAAACTTAATTGCATGGGTCGGCGCTTCTACTTYGCCGCTAAGAAGAAGATATAAAAAGTTAATAATTTTATGAATGAAAAAGTGAAATGCCAACATACACATCAGTAATACCGAAGCGTCCGTCTGTTGCACAAGTCGTTGGGCTTAGCCAAACGCAAATGACACACGCACTTACCTCTTCCAGCGGGTACACGCAACACACTCCAACTATTTAAGTATGACTGATAAGCCGAATTTAGGATAACAACAGCAATTAGGATCGCATCCATGTATGTTTGTATGCGGAAGATACAGTGGCATTAGTCTGGTTGCATGCTCACTGCTCGGGGCGCGGTCATTTTGAAGTGTCTAATTGATTTCACAGCAGGTATACACAGGATAATTGATACAATACATTGTGGCACATTCGCACCGATGAGCTACGCCGTTATACAGGTACATTTGCTGACACACCGCAATGCCACACACGCATGCACACATAGGCTAAGCGCCGCGCCGGAAGTAAATATCGGAAATTGCTTGTTATCTCTGGGAATTTATTRCTTTACAAATTGCTTCGAAACTGAAACCCTACAATTAAATTAAGTTGAGTTCATTGCTCGATTGCTTAGACGCCACCGTCGGTAGGCGCACCACAATCACATGCTTAGACAATAACTATATATGTACTATGACAAAGTCCACACAATTGCGTGCCCTTTCACTCACAAATATTTGTACGAAGAGTCTTAAATGATAATCAGCTTCTTTATGTGTATATAGCTGTACTAAAAAAACATTATTGATGTGCCTTTTGTTTTTTATTCTTCTTACAGCTGCCTTTCCCATCACCCGTCGCATCGGACATCCATATCAAAATCGCACACCACCAAAGCGGAAAAAGCCCCGCACATCCTTCACACGCATACAAGTCGCCGAATTAGAGAAACGTTTCCACAAGCAAAAATATTTAGCCTCCGCCGAGCGAGCGGCACTGGCGCGCGGTCTTAAGATGACCGATGCACAAGTGAAGACTTGGTTCCAGAATCGGCGTACGAAATGGAGGTGAGTGTTGTTACTGAAACATATATTTCTTATAGATAGATAGATATTTATTTATTTCATGTACAATAAATATACAGGAAACAAGAGAAAAAAAAACAGCACTAGCTTGAGGCCATCAGCTGGATATTTGTTATAAAAGAATTCAGTTATACTATCAGTGATCCCATTTTGCACACTTAGAAAACTTAGAAATAATCTTTGAAAGGGGATTTTGAAAGTTTCGAAAACAAAAAAAAAAGTCAGAGGAAAATCTAGGACATAGGATGTCGTAGCGATGACTCTYGTATCGTTTCTGGCGAAAAAGTTAATCACAAACATGCACTTATGTGTCGGCACGTTATCGTAACGCCAAATCAATGATTTTTCTGCTCACAAATCCAGTCATTTACGACGCAAAATGGAAACGAAATATTCGTTATTGACCTTTGTAACGAACTCATTATGAACCTGGCTACAGTAATAAAAAACGATGAACTTTACTTTGAMTTTTTAACCGACTATAAAGTTGTTTCTTCGGTTTCGGCTTCGAAGTCCCTTCGTACATCTACGATTTGGCACTAGTAATGGAAAAAATATAATATCCTAGGGTACGTCGTTATTGAACACGCTTCTTACCTAAAACATGAACCAAAATGTATTGAGTCGATTCATAAGAGATGTAGAGATCCTTTGCAATCTCTCTGATGCCACCACCATGATTTTCAAGCACTGTTTTCAAAAACTCTTCGATACCATCGTTATTATTACAGCTGGATGGAAGATTCCGTAGTTATTCCATTGGAAACACAAAATTTGAAGCAAGCTTAGGTTAGTTTAGGTTAATTTAGGTTAATCTAGTAGGTCAATAAGCCGGACAACCTATATACCAGTTTGGTCCTTTGCGATACCAGATGGAGCTTAGATGCGTAGTCTTGCCAATGCAGGACAAGGCATCATGTTTCTACGGTCTCTTCTATCGAGTTCCAATAAGAATTTTGAGTACTTCCGATCTACCATTTTGCACATGACTTTTGTAGTTTTGCACCCAGGTAGCTCGTTCCATCGTTCTAATGCATGGTTTCTCAGTGTTGATCACGTTTTCGGATGTTGGCTGTATACCCTTCTTGGCAATCTCGAGCGATATTTCGTTGCCTTACTTCTGGCAACACTTTACTCTGCTTCCCAAAACACTTCTGGCGGATGTGAGATACGAGGTTACTGTCTTAATTGTTGCTTGACTGTCCGCGGCTTTCGCAATAGGAAATACCTCAGCTTGAAGTATACTGTAGTGGTGTAGAAACTTAAAATGTTGTCTTAAGCCTAACTCTGAACAGTATATTCCAGCACCAATATTTTCCTGAGGAACAAAATAAAAGTAGTATGCAACAATCATGTGATTTATCAATATACACTGATCCGAAAAGACCGTAACACTCCAGAGAGTTTATTATTTAAATTAACAGAAATATTTACGACAAGTCCAAAACGCCAAAAAGCCTAAGCTCAGTGAAACTAGAACTAATATTTGCACTCTGTCTTTTAAACCTTTATGACGTGAAATAAAGAGTAAATAGCAAAATGGATTTTTAAGTTTGGATTTGCGGTGAATCGAACAAGCAACTGGTATAAGTCATATAGACTGGCATAACGAATATGACGAGATAAAATAGCATACGATTTAATCACTATATCTTTTTTTTTGTACATAATTCATCTAAAAATTTCTGTTGTTGACTTTACAAGTAAATTTTGTTAAAAGATGACAAAATTCAAAGAAGGGAACCAGGGAAAAAGCGCATAAAAGTTTACTTTTGAAGGTATCTCGCACAACTTATACAATTGAATTTATATTTATCGCAGAAAGTTCCACTTAAAATCGATTTTAAATTTTTAAACCGAAAATACTTTAAAACTTTTTGGAAAAAAAACCGAAAAGAATATCTTTGAGTTTTGTTTAGAAAATGCATACCTTTTGCCAACGAGAGTTACAAATGAGTAAAATGTGTAGTTGCAAAAACTTTGCTGCCACTGCGAGAGGAGTTTAAAAAAGTGCCGTTATTTATTATGTATGCGTATGATATAAAACGTGTAAAATGAAAATAAGCACTTTAAAAATTCATGAACACATTAAACGTGTAACGTGTGGAACAATGCCACATTTCAATTTCGAGCAGACCGCTTTTTCCCTTTTTTTCGCACCGTTTGGCGACGCCTAACCGCCCCCATAACTGTGCTGCGGCGACAGCGGGGGCGGGATATGGAAGAAGTGCGTTTTTGAAAGTGAGTACAAATTTGTGTACAATTTTCATTGTGGGCGTGAGAGTAGGTGGAGGGTAGTTATATCTTTCAACGCTTCAATTTTCAACCCTCACAAATACAAACATATATTATACAAACATGTATGTGAAGGAAGTGTTTTAAAAACGAAAGAAAACAAATAGAGGGTTTATAAATGGCGGCCAAAATATTGTTGGAGTTTTTTATTTTTGTTATACCTTCAACAGAAAGTAATGTCGAAGACCTTATAAAGTATATACATTAGGGTGAGGCAAAAAAAATCAATTTTTTTTTTTCGTTTGGTACTCGGAAAGGTTCTTAAGCAACACTAAGAAAAAGATCTCTCCAATTAAGAGCTCTTAATTGTAACGAGCAAGTCCTCCCACTTACAGTTTTCTATTTTTTTCTTATTATCAGTTAGAAAAATTCATATTTCCTTCTAGCTACTTGAAAAAATAACCTGTTTTATAGATTTTGTTGAAAATTTAACGCACTACAAAATGGTCTCTTAAGGTTTTTTCGTAAACCTAACTGTTTAAAAGATACCAACGATTAAAGTTTGATAAACATTTTTGAGCCAATACCATAAGCGAACCAGTTCCTAAGTATTTAGAGTTATCAAACTGAAATTTTGCACATATTCTTCACTCCCCAAAGAATAGCTTATTTGTCGGAATCGTCGATATTCGACCACTATAGCATATAGCTTCCATACAAACAAGCCGAGTAAAATCAAGTTCTTCTTCATATGGGATAAGATGCGCTTCTGTAAAGGGTATCATAATCGAAGTTAACGTTTCTTGTTGTAGTTTAATGTTAAAAGCATGGTCACGCCAACGCTTAGCGCTTACGTAGTGATATCAACGGTTACAAAACTGCTAAATTATTTATAGTAGATTTTGCGTTTGGTAATAAAGGCGGGCGCGCTTTTAGGCATTTAGAATAAATAGCAGTAATTTCGGGGTAGTAAGGAGCTTCTTGGTTATATTTATCAGCAAATTATGTGTTGAAAGCCATCGATCAGAAACTGTTGGTTATTAGTTAAATAATTACGGGAATATATGTACTTGCAAGTAAATATATCAAAATTATATATGTAATTATAATCGCTTTGTGACAGCGGCTGTAGCGCCAGCAGCGTCTAATGCGGCAAGCAAACACATTAACATTTTAATGGCCAGCGTTCACTCAATCGTCGCATTTACATAGGAAATGGCCGCTGATTACAATGGTGGACATTTTTTACCATTTTTTTTATACTTTTTTGTTGTTGTTTTTGTTTTTACAACTGTTATTCGTGTCCCATTGCTCATTGCGGGTTGCACTATTTTATCCCCCTAGACTGCTCGAGCTTAATTTGTAGCTCATTAATTTCTTTTGTGCGCCATTATGCCTGCACAGCCGGCAGAGTTGCCTCCAGCAATTGCTTTAAATTTCGTGATAAATTCACTGTTTGCATTTGATTAGAAGTTTTTTCACTACTCTGTTTTTGTGTCGAAATCATTAGATTGTATATTTACTAAAAGCAGTTAACGTTGACAGCTGTCATCAAGCGACCGTATTGCATGCCAACACACACACACGCACATCTAACGTCCATTATTTTTTTTTCAGCATGGAAGCAAATCTAACTGGACTTTTACTTTGCATGTGTCAACGTGTATTTTTGTAAATATTTATTGATACTATATATAAATACTATATACACATACGTATTTACAAATTGATGTGTCTGTGTGTTTGCTATTACTTAAGCTCTAGCACTCGCATTTATTTCTAGCTCTTTATTTACTAGTAAAACACACATATTTTATTTGGTGACTGAATTAAGTGTGTTCAACATGCAAACGTCGGCGAAACTGCGAATTGGCACGAGTAAATCACAACAAATCGAGATATTGAAATGATAGCTGAAAATAAATTGCCTGCGCTTTCAATTAATCGCCATACAAATTTCTTGATTCACTGAGTAGTCGCAACACACACAAACGCACACATGCCTGCAATGCTGTGACACAAATATGCATACATACAGAGACACTAATAGCCAGCTTTGTATGCAAAAGCTTGCGTGTGGAATGCATATTACGAAGTTTTCGTATGGTGATTTGTTTGTATGTGSGCTTTTTGTAAACAAATTAACTTTTCAATTAAAGAAATAAATAACCGCAAATACTGGCATGGGTTTCACATCAGCGACAGTTATTTAAATTGTTTTTGTATGCATATACATATAAAACTCGCTTGATTGACATAATTAGTTAATAATCATGGAAAAATATTAATTGTAAGTAAATTTTAGGTGATTGAAATTCATGAAATTTGTATATTTCAATAGAAATTTTTCAATACTAATTAAAATTGACACAAGTTTGTAATTATTTATAAAAAGAAAAAAACATAACTTTATAAATAAAATGTAAAATGACAGCTATTATTTAAATAATGCACTTAAATATCTATTACTTTTACTGTAGATATGAACTCTATTAAAAAAATGACGGTATTGATACACTGATGCGAAAGACCGTAAACACTACAGAGAGTTTAGTATTTAAATTAACGGAAATACTTTAGACAAGTCCAGAACCCAAAAACTTTTCTTAGTGAAGCTAGAAGTTATGATATTATCACTCTGAAACCTTTATGAGGTGATATAAAAGGTTAATAGCACAATGGAATTATCAATTCAGCTTATGCGACGAATCAAACAAGCAAGACGTTTAAGCCATATATGTAGACTG